GGGGCTTTGGAGTGGAAGCAGGGCCTCTAATGCCTAGATTTGTGGGGCCATATGTGCCAGAGATAGAATGCAATCGGCCGTTGTCTCTCCATGGGGTAAATATTATAAAATACACAGCGAAAAAATGTCTCAATTTAATGGTCTCGATTCAGTACAGAAGAACAGTACAGCTTAGAACACATCCCTTATACGTTGGCAAACGAAGCTTTATTGCACATATATATTACATCGTATGTCATTTCCATGACTCAAATTCTCATTGTAGGGATCGTCAGCTTGGCTTGAGTTCCATATAAATATATAAGTTTCAGCTCATTATTGTATGCGAACTTCGTTCTCAGTGTATTTCATATGAGTTCTCGTTCCACACCCAGCAAAGCTGTTGATGTTTGGCAATTTACGCTGCATTTTTGGGTTGAGTGGGGGGTTTCCCGCTGTCTGTCCCCCACGGGGTGTTTGGTTTATGGTTTGGGATTTGGTTCGGTTCGGGGCAGGGAGGGTGTGGCTTGACCACCGCAAAGCCTTTTGATTTTTGGTGTACGTGTGTCTGTGTGTGTGTGGGGGGGATTTCAATTGATTTGGTGTGGAAGAAATCCAATTTGCAAATTATAATGCGTATTCGCAGTCGAAGGGCTATTGCATGGATCGATCATTATGGTGTCATCAGATGTGTGAGTGTACGTACGACTAGGATGGAAGGTTTTCAGAGCCCCCGTGGTCTGTGCATTAAATTACAGATTGTCAGATTGTCCATTGTGGCAAAAGTGAACACATTAAAAGCTTTTGCTTAAGTGGCCTTAACCTTTGCCCTTTCGTTGGCTCTTTTTTGCCTAGGCAGCTTGCACAAAATGCTTGTAATTTGCTTGTTTCTCTGCACTTGAATTAGATGAGCACACAAATGCAGCTCTGAAATTACACCCAGGCCATCGTAGGGCTCCAGGATATATTCCATTCACGGCAATGCATGACAAAATGCCAATAAAAAAGGACCATTTTCCCATACATACAAGTGCCTGATTTCTTGAATTTCTGGATCTCAATTATGGGCGCTAAAGCAAACCATTTCGAAGTCTCTGCGGCGCTTTCGCAGCGAGAGTTGATTGAACCGTTACCATATAATGGGTGTCTTGTAGTCGGTATGTTGAATTTTTCGTGTTTTTTGAAATGGTTCTCCTCTGTCCCATGTCCTTGCAGCTGCCACACTTGTAAAGTCGTTTGCTTGGACTGTGCAAACAAAATGAGCGAGGAGCCTGGCAAACGAGGAAGACTAGTGAATGCATTAATGGATGCCGCCACCGTCTTCTCCAGATGCTGCTCCTTCTTCTCCTCCTCCTGCCCCTCTTTAAAAACATATGTGTGTGTGTGTGTGTGTGTGTATGACGCTCTTGACATTGCCCTGGGTGCAAGGGGGCTTTAGTGTTTATGCCGTGACATGGGGAATCCTTCAACCTGAAGGGTTCTCGCTGTCGCTTTCGCCGTCTTTGATTGCGCGCTCTCTCGGTGCCGTCCCAGCCTCCGTCTTGGGCTCGTTAAGTGCCGCCTCCTTATGGCATTTCATGCTATTTTAGATGCATTTGAATAAATAAACAGCCATAAGCCAGCGGCAGCCATAAAATGCTTATGTCGTGGGCAAATGTTTGTGTCTGGCCTCATTAGGAATTGAAGTTGGGAAAGCACATTGATGGGTACGAGGGGGACCAGGGGCAATGAAACTACATACATTAGTCGGTTAATGCATATTTAATTCAAAATCCAACACCGCACCACCCGCAGCTGTTAAAATGCCAGTGAAATTGCCTTAATTGAGTGGATTTGCATTCGAAATTCGACACAAACAAATGGAACAGAACCCTGAACCCCCAAGGCCCTCCCCAAGGTGATTGCCACAAGGTGTTGATCAAATCAAATTCCCTTTTCTTTTCCAGTTAGAATAAGAGAGAGAAACAGAAAGAGAGAGAGAAAATTTTAATTGATTGCCCATAAATTATGTAGCATTCAAGGGTTTACTGGGAAGCTGCAGTCATGCATGTGGTATGCGTAATATTTCACTTGCACTTTGATTCCATTCATGAAAATCTGCCCAAACGTTTGCCTGCACCCCAATCCAACCCCACCACCCCCACAGAGTGGCATAGCTATAATATTTGCATGTGAATTGGCTTTCGCTCGCTGAGGGACACTCTCCATATATTTCTCTCCATTTCTCTGTTTGACTGTCAAATGCTGAGCAAACATGGCCAGGACTCATCTGACAAGGAAACAAGTGCCAGGCCCACACTCGACTCTAGCTTTGACACATTGAGTGGAAGTTATGCAAATAAATAAATGTAGATTGACTTGACAGGCAGAATATTTACATACGAGTAGGTAAGGGTGCGTGTGTACCACAAGGAGAAAGGCAGACAGAGTGAGGAGATGTGAGGGCAAACAGACAAAACTAATTAATGGAAATATGCCCATCTCATTGACAAATTTCAGAGTCGGAGAGTGTACTCGTACATACTCGTATACATATATCACTTTGGACTCTATCTGTGGCTCTGGCACTGCTTTGCCGGTCCGCTGAGTCGCATAATTATAATGAATCCTTTTGGACAGCTAACTTAACCCTAATTTGTGCCCTAACTTGCATTATCTCTGACTACAAACACACCTTGTCTCCCATTGTACTCCTCATGCAGGTGCGAATGCAAAAAGTTGGAATGTCTGCCGCCCGCTAATTAAGCTCCAAAATGGAAGCGAGCCGCCGAGTAAAAACGCGACTATTCCTCCATTGTTGCTGCAACTTTTGTGCATAAACTGAAGCAGATGGTGCCTCTGCCTCCGCCTCCGCCTCCTTCTCCTGCCCCTGCCTTAACCTCAGCCACTGAGTCTGCTGCTCTGCCTCAACTTTTGAATCCTCATACTCATTCTCACACTTGGAAGCTCCTGCTTCGCCTCCTGATGCGGGCAACTCTCGCGCGCTGTAAAAGCTTCAGCCCTGACCACATTTTAATTGGGCTAAGCACACGCCATGTGCTCCGTCCTGGCCATGTGTGACATGCTATTAGTGAAACTTTTAAATGAGTTAGTTAAGTAAAGCGGGTTACGTTATTATGCGTTTTCGGCTTGGACATTACAAAGGCTTGTCGTCCTCAGTTCTGCTCGCGCAAGCTAGGACGAGTACGGATATAGCAAGTATAGCAAGACAGAGAGTATTATGATTTTCATCAGATGTTTGCAACGATTAGAAGGAACATACACATATATATATGTACATATGTATATTCCCTCTGACTGATACTTCTTACATACTATCCCTATAAAGGATAAAGGATTTAAGCCTAGTTTTTTTTTGGGAAATAATCGAACAAACGTTAGAAATTTTAGTTAAGGAGCAATGGATATACTAGGGTATTCAAAACTTCGGCCTTGGCAGCTTTCCTTTGTGACGTAGTATATTTCCCTCGCTGCTAACAATATGCTCAATATATTGGACTTGTCGGAGGAGGTTAAGTGATGGAATAGTTTCACACACTATTTCCTGTGGAAGTCCAAGGTAAATACGTTGGGTATACTTACATATGTATGTGTGTACAAGACAGTATCTACTTAGTTTATTTTTGGTACAATCGAATACAAATGCTACGAAGTAGATTATAAACATACTCGTAGTTTCATTATCCAAAGCAAACATTAGTTGGGAAAAACTGTTTCGACCACAAAAACTGTTATGTGCCGATGGTTTTTTTCCCCAATTAATGATGAAATTAGTTCAGTTTTTTTTTAGATAACATTTGTACATATGTTTGTATATATGGGCTATGTAATCGTTTTGTCCATTATGACAATCGCCTTTAGCTGCCGACCAACAGAATTCCAAATTTAATGCAACATTTTCTATGGCTTTGCCCTGGGATATTTTACTTTATTGGGTCAAACATTATTTCGGTAATTATTTGGTCTAAGTGAACGCAATCAATTTTCAATTAGTCGCATGCAATACGACTCGTAATTTTATACACATTTCTTGGGACAAAGAGTGGGAGGCTGTCATTGGTAATTATTGCAAATTATATGGCGCTCGTATATACTCGTGCTCGTATGGTATTTGCTTGCAGTAATGCCAATCGAAAATACTTGAATGAAACAAAGGAATTCTACCTACAGGAGCAAAAGAGAGAGAAAGCGAGAGAGAGATCGAGAAAATAATATTCAATTACGAATCATGTCTCCCTGGACAATGGTAACGATGGGCATAACGGCCGCCTTCCCATAAATATTCCACGACTCCCTTTCAGCCAGGCCGTAAATTGAAGCAATAACAATCATGTGGCATGTGGCTCTGTGGCCGGGATAATACGAGTAGTTGCTGTCTTTATGTGTATGCTTCCACATTGATTTCGAAATTAATCGGAAATACGTATAAACTGTGGACAAGGAAAGGAATTGGAATTCCTTCTTTGTGCTCTTTTTCTTTCTTTGGGCATTCCCGATCGATCGGTTTGTCTTGGAAGTTTGCTTCCCGTCAGTTTCTGTGTGGTGCTTGCTCGAAAAATCAATGGACATTTCATTATTTCCCCCTACCCACCCCCACAATTAGCAAAGAGCTGGCCGGGCCCTTGGGGGCTGCCACCTGGGCATGGCCTGCATTGATAAAGTGTCCGCCAGTGTCCCACCCAGCCGGTTTCCGGCAGGAAATTTGCATAAAATTCAAATAAAATAAAACGACAAGCCTTATAATCATTAGCCAGCATCCATGTCGGCTCTCCTGGGTGCAGTGAGGCTGGTCCCTGGGCCTGGACAGTGGACGCGAGATGCCTGCAACAGGGAGCTTCCCTTCCACCTGGGAGGTGACTTATTTATGGAGTTTCCATGTTAACGAGGCGCAGCCAGTAAATTAATTTAGCCCATGAAAAATATACACCCACACAAAACATACTTAGTGTCCTCGTACACTGCGTTTCATAATTGTTAGGAGACTTTGCATCTGTATTACGAGTCGGACGCTCTCGTGTCCACTAGATACCGATCCAATCCTGCAGGGCCACCTTCTGCAGCTCAATCTGTTCGCCCATCTTCTGGGTCATGGCGAACTGGATGAGAATGAGCAGATAGTTGACCAAAATCGCGACGAACTGGAAGCAGAAGCAGACGAAATTAGACTGTGAATCGGGGAAGGCAATCCAACGGGCCCCCTACCAGAGTCAAGACCGTTCGATTGAGGGGAATGCCCAGGCCGATGGTGAACTGCTGACGAAACTGCAGGCACCAGCTCATCAGAGAGTTAACCAGCTGCCGGATCGCAGGACTGCTGGGGTACCAGTTGTCCAGCTGCTCGATGAGGCGGAGGCACCGCCGGGCCTCTAGGATCGTGCGCTCGCAGTAGAAGGGTGCGATGAGCAGCTTGTAGAGAGGAACGGCCATGCAGAGGGCCACGTAGCCCAGCAGAACGCGACTGCCGTTCTGCTGCTCCATTTCCTCGTCTTCGAGGCCCTCCTCCATGCTGGCCATACCCATGCCGAAGATGATGTAGAGCTCGCTGGTGCCAATGGCCAGATCATGGGCCATCGACATCCACAGACCGATGGCGTATACACGATTAATCTCCAGGACGAGCTGATGGAGCTCCTGGACCATGGCCACGGCCTGTCGGATGCGCTGCTCTCTAAGCTGTCGCTGCGGGAACCGCCACTCGAGGAACTTGGGACTGAGGATCTTCTGGAGCAGCCGGAAGCGAATGGAGAGCAGCTCGACGAGACTCATGTAGACGTAGCCGGTGAAGTGAGGACCGCACGTCACGAAGACGTAACAGAAGGCGGACAGCAGGAACAAGGTGCGTTGACCGGTGGCCATCTGGACCACGGCGCTCGTGATGGCCCCCAGATAGAGCACGGTGCACGACACCACCACCAAAATGTTCTTCCTTAGCAGCTTCCGGTAGTTAAGGTTGGCCCCAAAGTCCCGCATCAGCATCGCATCCATCGCGGACAGGCGCACATAGATGCCCAAGTGGCGGCGGCCGGCCGCCTGCAGGGACACCACCGTGCCTACGAACACCAGAGTAGACATGACCACCTCCAGAGCCGCAATGCTCAGAACCATCTTGTCGGCGGCCGCCATCCGCTTGCGGATCTCCTCGCTACCCAACAGGGCGCTAAGCGAGCCGATCAGAACGAGGACCGTCAGCCCAGCCACGCCCAGTGAATAGATCCTTCTGCCGCGGGTAATCGCGAAACTGGAGCCCCCTCCTCTGAACCCGTTGCAACACATCACGAACTGAATGCCGCAGATGACGCTGGCACAGTCATAGAGGGTCTCCGGTTCCCGAAAAAAGTACAGCACCGCCATAGCGTTGAACGGAGGAAAACGAACTGAACTTTGAGCCCTTGGAAGTGGTTCCATCAGTGATGGCCATAAACATTAACCCATTGGCCTGTGTAGTTGGTGCCATAAATAACCATTAAGTAATTGCTTTGATTTATTTTTTTGATACAATAATCTGACGAAACTCACGAACGTATCCAGTGTATGGGTAGTGCAAACCATTTTACCATTTAACATATCACATGCATTCCCATCTTAACAATAGGTAAGGAATTGCTTCGGGGTTCGACCCGAAGCGAAGAGTTTTCGGAGCTTAATTACTGGAGGGACATAAAACTAAAGCAAAATGGCATAGTAAAAAGAAACAAACCAATTTAAATGGAAAAACACTTTAAAATAAATATAATATATTGCATTTGATTGGAAATATATGTATGTATTTAATTAAAATATGAAAATGTTTTAAGTAAATACGTAATATTTAGATCAATTAGTTCAATTATCGGAGCAAATATGTTGAAATTCATTTTTAAATCTAAGTGTAAATATTAAAATAGACATCATTTTAGTTTCTGGGATAATTACAAGGGAATCAAACAGACTAAGGATGCAGCAGCTGCAGGCCATTGATACCGTTGTACTATTGTATGGTACGTATTGATTATTATTTGTTAAATACTTGAAAAAAAGAAATATAATAATTCACATTTATGCAATAACTATGCCATAATTAAATAATGAAATTGTATCTCCAATCAAATTCGTAGAAATAGTCTCACAGTAACTAAAGTCTGAATTGAATTTGTGGCTGCAACCTGTAATATTTTCGGCACTTTTCAATAAATGAAAATGTGTTATTAAATTTCTGCATCTTTCGACACAGAGAGAGAAATAAGAGAGAAAATAAATTCACAATAAATTCCAGTATGCAGGGGATTTTGGCTAAGCTGGTAAAAGTATCTGGTGACAGACCTCAAAAGCGTTTGTTGAACTGCCTGTGGGAGGGAGGATGTCGGCTTTAATTAATAAAACTCGATTAACGAAAATTTTATGATTGTCAAAATGCCAACGGGAGGCAATCAATCATTGCCTTCGTCCGTTCGCCCATCGCTCCTGTTAATTATTTTGCATTAAGTATTTATGAAATTCCCAAAAGAAACCGTCGATAAGGGACAGCTGCGGTGTGGAAAAGTGTAAAATTAATTAGGGCCTGTCCGGATGGACAGACGGACAGGCGAACGGTCGGGCTGTCAAATGGTTGCAAATGACCACCGAAAGAGTTGGAGGCGGAGCCAGTTAATAAATTGTTTGCTGCACATTTGTGGTTCAATGCACATTGAAATGTAAATGGAAATGGACACATTAATTATGCGCAACTGTTGATTTTCTGGCTGATTAACCTCTGGAAGCTTAGTTGGGAAACAAATGTTATAAATAAAATATATAAACAAAAGCCATTGACTTTTGGGAATACTCTGCCATAATGCAATGGGTATAGGCTTTGTTTTTCCCTTAGTTTCTGATCATCTAGGGCAGGGACTTTCCATGCCCATGCATAGGACATTAAGAATTAATTAGAATGCATATTTAATTTATTACTATTTATCGCTTTCCGTATCACTGCATTTCGGGTAACATATGCGCAACAATCTCGCTCAAATTATATATAGACCAAAGCCAAGTCCAATCGAATTCGATTCAAGGAAGGGCCTTAGCTAGAGAATTTTCCATCCACTTTCATGGCCATCTCCGTCTCTACACCACACACAAACACACATAAACAGCTCTGACAGCTTGCTAACTGAGTGATGGAGCGACTGATTGACTGGCTGACATGTCCAAAAGCACAGCAAGACAGAAACACAAAAAAGGAAATCAAATCTCCGCCCAGATGGATTCAATTAACGCTAATTTAAAATGCCAACATACATAAGTGGGTAGGCGGCTTCCAAGCAAGCCAGAAAAGGGAAAATTCCCAGCCAATTTTCCACATGACCCCCATCAAAAGTTCGCTGTCAGCGGTTCAAGTCCTGACAATTGAAAGGACAACAACTTCTGACTGTCGTCCAAACAAGCTTTGATTGGGGGGACAATAACTGAATCACATCGAATGGGAAAAGTGTTGGAAATGCTTACGCACAAAAAAGGTCGAAGTTTACCATATAGGATAAATAATAGAAATAAATATGTACATATTTATTTTAATGCGAGCATGCAGAAGAACAGAGGAAAAGAGATCTATTTCTGCTCGGCTTGCAGGCGGAGAAACAGAAACCCATTTGCAGACACCTTTAACCATCGCGGGTGTGGAGTGCCTGGTCCTGCTAATGCCGCACACAATTAAATAAAATAACACCATAATTAATTACAGGCCACAGAAACACTCGGACCGAGCACGAGACTTGATTTGCTGGCCACCAGGAAGGTGCTAATGTCCAGCCCCATACATTATGCAAGCGATGCGATGGGGGGTTGGCTATGTGCGTGAGTGTGAGCGAAATAAAGAATGATTTATGGCGCTAAGCTAACTAAAGTTTCGCTCCGTTTTGTTTCGTTCTACGCATGTTCTTGTTCTCACAATTAGACATTGGCCCCCCAGCAGAGGAGTGGATGAGTGGGAGTTTCAGTTACCCCAGCCAGGCGCATAAATCGCATCGTAAATAAAAAGTAAACCATCACAATGGAGCCATCAACTTTTGATGCAACTTATAACCATATTTGGTCGTAAGCGCGCTAATGGGCCAGCATTGATTGGATATATCGAACACACTTAAGAGGCGACGACCCATCAACTGCCCGAATGTCCGCCCATCAAAGCAAAGTGTTATCACGGGAGTACGAGTATCTGCGCAGTCAGTATCTGTGGCAGCGACAACGGATGCGGCAGTGGCAATGTCTCGTAATGCACAAAAGGCGTTTAATGTTAACGAGCAAATGGTCCTCAAGTAACTGCACTCCTGTCCGCTGCCCTTTATAAATTGTGTTATCCATAATGTGGATAAGTGTATATACATATGTAGTTATATATATATTGAAATACACTCGCGGAAAATAAGCATAACTTGCATGAGAATAACTTATTCTATGATGGAGTAAATATTTATGGAATTTATTATAATTTTATTTATTGCAGAGCAATTTCAGGGCTCAGACTTTTTCGCTGAGTGTACAGTTGAGGTTTATCATCGCGTCTGCTTTATCTCGCGCAGCTGCTGAAATATGCCCACGTCCGCCACTCCTGCCGCCCCTGCCAGGGACCATTGGTGCTCGTTGCTCCGTGCTCTGTGCTGGCTGACCCTGCTATCGCCGCATCTTTCCGGCCACGCTGCTGCTGCCGCTGCTGCTACTGAAGGTTGCATGTTCATTTGGCTGTTCCCGCTGCTGTTGCACAGCATAAAATTCAGTCAGCCATGCCACATAAAACCCGCAAAAAAGGCGATGAAATTATGGTGCCTGCTCATTGTGTTGCTGGAGGTGTAGGAGCGTGGCGAACAAGAAACCACGAACATTGGCCCAAAGCTGCACAGATGCCCCGCATTCCACAGAAGATGCGATGGCCAGGGAGAGCTTTACGAGACATGTCTATTTAACCCTAATAACAATCCTGATGTACTTCCTCTGCTGCTTACAAACCAACATTAATGATGTTAGATAGTAAGCACCAAAGCTACTATAGCACTCATCAGATGCTGGAGCCATGTGAAGGGAGATTATGGTGAAAGTTGCATAGCTGCAGAATTCAAGTTTTGCCACATGCTAGGCATATTTTTGGTGCTCCGTGCTTGGAGCTCTTCCAGACCCCGGCAACGTCACAACTGATTAACGAGCTGCAAATGATTTCATGCGAAAGAAGCGCTGCCACAGCGTAAATCACAAACAATCAGGCGTGCCACAGAAGCGCACAAGGCGCTCCATAATGATGCTAATGATTATGTTGATGTGGCATTGTTCGCGTGCGCAGACAGCTCGGCATCCATTTCACTTGTTGCCCCATTGCAGCTGTTGCACAAATGCTTGACACTTAAGTGCCCGCAAAAAAAAAAAAAATAAGAGCGAGAAACGGATAATAGGAAAGGGGCGATGGTTTCCAATCCCAAAAGGAAGCCAAAAACTTCCCAGGCAATTGGCAGATGTCAGCTTTAAGCCATTTTAAAAAGCAAATGTCTGACAAAGCTACAAGTAAAACTTTTTATGCGCCACTTTGCCCGGCCATTCACAACTTGTACGTGGCAAATAAAACTGCAACCGGAGACTACTGCTGTCGCCTTCAAGGAGTACGCCCTAACCCACCCACAAACCCGTACAATATTCCCCAGCTCTGGTTTGCTCTTAAGTATGCAGTTGTAAGCTATCAAATCCTGTTAATACTTCCGCCCCAGACACAGATTTAGAATTTATAGCGAAAACAAGCGAAGCTTGGAATGCCTTACTGGAAAAAGATTATCTGGAAAGATCTTAAATGAATCTTGTATGCCTTCTATAGTTCTGCCCTACTCGGTGGCTTGATCAGCGGTTGAATCAGAAATCCTGGCAGATGCAAGCTAATAAACTGTAGATAATTGATAGATGAACGAACACGGCTGACACTTGAAACTCAAGAATGCAGAAATAGAACGGACCGCGGCTGGATATCTGTGTAAGCGTGTTCCTAATTAGTGAAGGAGAAGCAGAGGATGAGACGGATATGATGATGGTCAGATGGATGGAGTGACGAGGACTCATACACTGACTTGGATGCTGAACTGACAGGCGGAGACTTTGGATGCTTCCACAAGGGCATTAACAAGCAAAAAATTCAGAAATGCTAACGAGGAGAAATGTTTTGGCACTGTCGCCGACTGGGTTACATAAGAATCGTGGCTTGGGGACCAACACGTTTTGGTTCACCTTGTGACATGGTTCGATTTGCAGGTCATCTGCCGCCGAGAATATTTTGTGTGTTGTTTCCAGCCGAATTTCTGAGAGAAATGCAAATCTCTGAGACCTCACAGTTGCTTTCGCCTTCAACGCTGCTCATCTGCCAGGTTTCCATATTCATATCTGGCAAAGTGAAAGTGCTTGATTAGGAAAACGAAACATACGAAATTCGCTACCTATAATGGGAATATATAAGTATGTATGGGGCCGGTGATGAGTGATTACCAGCCTCGTCAGTGATTAGTGGATATGCAAATGGATGCTCAAGACTGGCCCCGGCCATATAAATCAAAGTGTAGGACAGGCACAGGCCCAGCCGAGTCACTGATGCTGAAGATGAACAGCAGCCACACGCTAATGAAGATTCTCTTGCTGGCCCTGCTGCTCCTTGGCGACACATCAGGTTGTGAATAGGACGGAGTCCTGAGTTCACCAAGTCCATCAACTAATTGGTTTCCCCTTGTTCTGATAGCGCGCCATCTGACACTTCGACCACTGAGTCGCGCAGAGATACACGAATTGGAGAGCACTCAGCCTCTGGGACGATCTGTATCCAGTGGGTTTGCTGCCGTGACTGGCTTTGCCATAGGCCTGGGAAAGGCCCTCACCGGGGTCTTTATCTACGACGTGATCACCGCCAACGTAACCGACATCGAAGAGAGCGAAAGTTCAGCAAGTGAGGCCTCCGTCAGGGAGTTCTGCTTCGACACTGGATCGAAATCAGGTAACGATCTAACACCTTACTACGATGATGGCGACGGCGATGCCGATGTAGAGGAGGAATTATCTTTCAAGAGTTCTAATGCGATGACTACCTGTATTGTATACTATAAAAATGACCGATGACTGTAATCTGTTCAAAACTGGTTGGGTGGGGGGCTGCGCAGTGCCTACTGCCAGAGGTCAGAGTGTTTTTTGTTTTGTTTGGAATTTACATATGCAAAACGATCGGCTGAACTTTCTTTGTCTTCTCTCTGTGGGCCATAAAAGTCGGGCAGAACTTGCCGAATGTTTCAGTTGGGTTTCTACGCGACCGAGCGAAAGATCATCGACAAAATGAAATCTTTTGGGAATTTCGGGGCATTCTGCTTAGCCATCATCCTCGTCGCGGGCCTCAGTGCAGGAGTTGATGGTAATAGACATCGACAGAGAGGGAGACAAAGTGGAACCGATTAATTTTCTCGCTTGGTTTGTAGCTCGTCGATTGGCCCTGCGTCCGTTGTCGGTGCGGGAGCTGCGTGCTGCCCTGCGGGAGACTGGCCTGGATGAAAATTCCGAGGCTGGGAGATCGCTTGCCTCGGCTCTGTCCGGAATCACAGGGTTCGCCCTGGGCATCACCAAGGGCGTGGGCGGCTCCATACTCTTTGATGTGATCACCTCGAATGCCACTATTCAGTATGTGTCCAATCTGCTGAACTCCACCTCCTCCTCAACGACAGGCAGCAGTGGCACCGCCCAGGAGATCTGCTTCAATAGCCGCAGTGCCGATGGAGAGGCCATCAGTGGTCGGAGCAGCAGCCACAGAGGTTCTACTGATGATTTAATCAATAGCGATGAAATTAGCTCAGCGCCGTCTGGCGAGGAGCGAGCCACGGGCACGGGCACTGGCACTGGAACGGGCACGGGCACGGGCACGGTGTCATCCGGTGGCGTCACCTGCATAGTCCTCAACTCAGGAGTCAGGCGGCGGCGTCAGGTGGAGGTAAGACCTGCTGCGACCACAAAAACATACAACCGCAACCGATCCCGCCGCCAGTCGAAGCGGCGAGTCGACCAGAGGGTTCACTGAGCCCAGACTTAAGGCTTAACCGACCCGTAACCTACTTTAAGCTATCACTTATTTATTGATTTCGATAAGTTTATTAAATTTTAATTGTTCCTCACGGGTGCGCTCTGTTATAAATGGTCGGATGACACGGGGAAATTCTGCATTGACATATTTTATGATTTGCTGACATGCACTCTGACGACATTCTACACTGCACGAAAATGGAGTGTAGCTCAAGAAATCTGTACCTTAATCTGACTTCTGAAAACAAGTTTGAGCTTAAAGTTTTTCTATCAATAAAAATAAAAAAATAATAAATTGCCAATGGATATTTAATTATATGCAAAGACTCTTGGAATTGGGATGTGTAAATCCATGGGAGTTTTCCTGTAATCTCATTCTTGGTGCCAGTAGAGGAAATTTGTTCGTCATAGGAATAGCCATAGGTTCCAGGTAAATATATCTTTTAAGATTGAATATCGAATGAGTTTATTTCACAGTGCAAGGAATGGGCCAGGGCGTGGGCGTTCCTTGATTCCTTCCCCAATGCATATGTGCCCACACAGTGACATTTGCAGCGTCACGCACATCGAAGTGCCAGAATGGTTATTAATACAAAAAGCCACGCACGAAGCATGCCTCACACACACAAACACACACAGACAGCTTGCCCCATGCCCCATGCCCCATTCCCCTTGCCAAATTTACCCTGTCTTTGCCTATGGTTTGCTTTTGGGCCTTATGTAAACATTGAAATGTCATTGCCGTCGAGGGCAGTGGCCCAGGCACATAAATCCTACTTGGCCACAATTTATTAACTTTAACACAAGCCAATGTCAACGGCTTCCGCTGGCTTCCACTGCTCCAGTGTTTTGGGTTTCTCTTATTGATTTGGATGCGAAATTTATGTGGTTAAAGGACCTCCACGCTGGTCTTTGTCTAGCAAACTATTAATGTTGTCCCAGCTGAGGCTTCTTGTTCGTCAGATCTCCAGTTGGCCAAATGCAATGTTTATGTTATTGTCTGCCCTTAGCCTGAACCGAACCGCCTTGGCCTAAACAGGAATTGCATTAGGGATCATTTATTATTTATGTTAATGCCTTGAAAGTTCTGTCAGAGTCGGAAAGAGTGGTTGATGTGATTAAACTGTGTAGACTATTAGGAAGGGATAGATGGACAGAGGGAGGGAGAGAAAACCATCACCGAAAAGAAAACCAAACTCAAATTACCATATCTCTGATTCGCCCAAACTACCGTTGAGAGTATACTCGCATCAGATTGTTCACATACACTGAGGGAAAATGTCGAATATAGAAAATATGTAACAGAATGTACTCGATGTAACACGATTCCAGATTCCCCGAGCGGCACTGTTGATTGATTCATGTGTAGCTGTGACAACGTTTTTTCAGTGTACCAGCATACATATGTGTACATACATATGAGAGAATCACGAAGAAAAACTACAATTATTTTGTAGTGGCAGCTTAATGACCAAGGCCATGACCGGGTGTGTGACCTCCCCCAGTGGAGCAGTTGCCGGTTCGGCCCCCAATCTTAGTTATAATCCTAGTGCTGGTCCCCCGCTTCAAACGGAGCCCTCTTAGAGCAGAAATTGCGTACTAAATGCGCTAAATTACTAACTAAATGCCGCAAGTGCCGCCCCAGGGCATGGCTAGAATTTCACAAATGAACGCCCTTTTGCGAGTCGAGGCAGAAGATGGGTGGTGTGGGAGGGGCAGCCAAAGGCAAAGCTAAAGCTAAAGTCAAAGCAAAAGCGAAAGCCAAAAACTGCCGACAGTCGATGACATTTGAGCGATAAGAAAAACTGTTGTTGTGTGGCTGGCTGGCTGGTTTGCTTGCCGCCCTCTCAGCCCGCCCCTTTCTCTCACACTATGCGACTGGCAGTAAGGGAGTGAGTGGGCAATGGGACAGGGTCGAGGGCAAGTGCTCTCCTGCAGCTGTTTACTCTCCTTGCGGTTGTTCGTTCTGTACCCTTGCAGAAACTTCTATGAGTTCTATCAGACGTTTGGCCCGGCAGAGAATTAATGATTTTCGATGCCACAATACAGATACGTAAATTTAAATATAACAATTGTCATAGATTAAATAAAATTTAACAAAAACTACACATGTATGTATGTATATCGTGTACGAGTAGCTTCCAGAACGGTGATGGACATTCAAGGGTATGCAAAGCTTCGGCTGCCGATGCTGTCATTTCTTCCTGGTAAGTGTAGGTGTAGTTGCTTTTGGTGTTAAGTATGAAGGCGAGGCGTGTGAATTGTGCGGGAAGTGAAAATACAAACACAAATACACATAGTAAATGCTTTTGATTTTTTTCTTTGTTCTTGCTTCTGGCTCTCCTTCTCTTTCTCTCTCCCTCGTCCACTCCTTTGGCCTTTGCAAGCATTTTTACAGATATTTTTACTACATTGAAAATTGTTTTAAATGTTAATGTTGCTGTTGTCGCTGGGCTGATAATAAAATAAGGCGCCTTCGAAGAACACGGTGCGTGTGCGGAGGGGTGTGTATGTAGGGTAGGTTCCCCCGAGCACACAAATAATTGAGATGTTTGGCACCCATCCCCCCTCCTTTGGATTCCTAAGTGTCGTCACACACGCAGCCATCATTCCCCTCCCCTACCCAACCCCACCGAGTCAGCTGTGAAGAGAGCGCGCGCACTCGTGTTAAATTATGCGGGTTTGATTTTTATTGCAGTGCCGCTCATTTCTTTTCCCTTTTGCGTTTGTTTGCTCTGCTTTGGTTTGCTTTTTTTTGCTTTGGTTGGGTTTGGTCCCCTTTGTTTTATGAGATCTCTTGAGAACAGAGCGGGGAATATATATATAGAGAGAGAGAGAGCAGGTGGAACACTCGGGCATTCTCAAAATCAAAACAATTTGATGGGAGCCAAGATAGGCCGAATGAAGAGTACCCTTTGCTAACGAATCTTATAACAGGCAGTGGAAGAAGACCAGACCCATATTTTGGCTATTAAAACAATAGCTCTTTGTTTACGAGATTTTTTCATTCAGACAGACGGGCAAAAGTACTGCAAAAATCGGCATCTGTGGCATTATTTTCTGATCGTTAAAATGTTTGTAAACGACTGAAACGGGCAACGGGTATAATCATTTGAAAATTCTTCTTGTCCAAAGAGTAAACAAGTTGGTGGGCATGGAACTCGTTGAAAGGGAAAAGGACGTGAGAGCGTGTGTGCGGCTGTAATTTGGCCCTGGCTCATTGCCGTGACAAGCTGTTGCCTGGCATTTGAATTAATGGCACTTTCCACCCTTGCGCCAGTCCCACCAAAGGGTCATCACTTTCACCGCTGCACTCCTAATGAAGCCATCTCTCTCCAGAAGCCCCCAAACGCCGAGCGAAACGGGATCCGGAAGTGTTCGGCGTTTTCGGCGTGGATGTCAAGAGGCAGCACGAGATACGAGTATCATTGCAGGCAGCTCCGTGGTGACACGTGACCGCAAGGAAATCGGCTCAGACGGGGTCCCGGTCCCCCGAGAGGCTTAATAGATTTTTGATTTGTTTGTTCACCCCTAACCGGCACGCCGCACCAGCACCAAGCACCCAGCACCCAGATCCATATCCAAAGCCGAATCCGAATCCAATTGTGAGTCGCGCGTGCGTCTCTGATTGGAATAATGATGTGCCAGAGGAAATCCGCATAGAAAACGAAACAGATTCGCCGCATTTATGGGCAGCGACTGTGTAGTGTGTTTGTCAATATAGAAAATCAATACAGAATATTATTTTTACCACTCCCCACCAATGTTAAAGCAGCCGAATAATTCAATAAAGAAATCACCCAAAGGCCGAGACGGACCGAGGGTCCTGGAGTCTGTCCTGGCTCTGGTCGTGGTCCTGTTAGGTAATTGGAAATGATCGCTCAAGGCTCTTGATAACGAACATTAAAAGCAAAACCTGAAAGTTTGTCTGCTCTTTTTTGCTTTCATGGGGGTTCTTTTGGGCAAAATTCGTACAAATTGTTTCAATTAAAAAGTTTACAAATTTTGCTTTTTTGCCTTTTACTTTATCTATAATCGGCTTGCGATTGACATGTGCCTCCATCTCTGCCAGCTACATTATTTGCCCATTTAATGCGTTTTCACTGTGTTCATATTGAATATGGGGGCTCTGTGTGTGTGTGTGTGTGTGTCCTAATTACGACGACCTTGAAGGATTTATAAGTTAAAAACTTGATTGCATAAGACAGTCGAGTCTCCAGTGTGACAGCAGGAAAGCCAAAAGCCGGGGGCCAATTAATTAAATATAATCAGCTGGAAAAGTTTTGGCCAATCTGCAAATACATTTCACATTCTCTCTAATTAATTTAATTGATTTAATCGCTTCGACTTGACCTATGTGTCCGTCGAGTGCATTTGATCTGTTTGTTTGCACAAAATGAAATTGACTTGTAATTAAAAGTTTCGCAAATTGATTGAAAATTTCTCCTCTCTACATACACACTCGTATGCATGAGTCTGTGTGTATTTGCCACTGTGACTGTTTGGCTGCGACTGTGTGTGTGGTGTGGTGTGACCAGGTCCCAACAATAAAACCACGAAAGGGATGCTAAAGAAAAAAAAAGGCTAATTACGGGCATTAATTAAAAATGCATTTTTTTGTTGACCAATTGAATGGAGGAGAACTTCGAGGAGACCAGAAAAACCAACAGTTTGTTTTCAGCCAACGCTCATTGCGGAGGAAATTCTCTCTTAGCCATCGGGCTGTATAAGAGTCGGGCATATCTCTTATACGTGTACGAGTCGTGCTGCTTAACTGACCTACGGCAGGACATAAGTTTGAGAGTTTTTGGGTTTTGCATATTGTCCGTAGAACTTGTTGGCCTACTGAGGCAATTGTACTACCATTCATTATGTTTATTTCAATAATTAGGCATTGAACATCACAAGAGCAGATCTGGCAAAGCAGAATTCAATTAGATTTAGATTCTGAACGTATTTAGTTTTTACATTAAATATCAAATTAAATATATATTTATATATATTGATTTATACGAATGTATAAATATTCCCCAAAGAAGCATACATTTTATAATTTTATAAAGTTTTACATTTGAGTATGTTTAATAAAGCAACAACAGAATGCTAATTCCTGGTCATATATCTGAAATGTAATCCAACGAATGATCACGAATACCGCTCACTTGTATTCTATAAAAATTATTTCATGTGTGTGCCAGACTGTAAAGATATATTACAAATTATTTGCAGGCAGAAATGGGTACAACAATCGAGTGCATAGGCAGTAATGCACTTAAAACAAACAAAACAAAACAAAAATAAAATGTAAATAGCTTCACTTCAAAGTTGGCTCGCAATTTCGTGCTCCAATAATCTGAGTTCTAAGAGTTCTCTGGCTCTCTTCGGGGCTCTCTTTTTGGGGGAAAGCCGAGTGGGGCACGACGACGAGTGGCGCGAGGTTTGCAGCATTCGTTATGCCGCATGGGGCACACGACCACGACTGCCACTCGCCTTTCAGTTCCATCCTGCGACTCGGAAGCGAAGCACGCGTCTCTTGATTTATGGTGCGCGGTCAGTTCTGGCTAGATTCAGATTCAGTACTACCGAGTGCCAAGTGTTCCGTAGGCCTAATGAGCCCCTTTGCGTGTTAATGGCGAATTAATGACCGGCGATTAAAATGCAATAATCGCCTGCATAGTACCCTATGAATGAGCCTCTGTGGTTCGCTTACTTTCCAGTGAAACAGTGCTGTCTATAGTATATAGTTCTGAGATCTACAGAGTTCCCTTCGTAATAACATAGACATTGTGCCCCGAAAATGTTGTGCAAAACTTCAACCGCAGAAGATTAAAAAGAAACAGTGCGACAAAACGGAAAAAGGGAAACCTTCAACGAATCAAAAAAAAAAAAAAACACTTTCATTGCTCCCCAGGCAGAGCTTAGTAGAGAGTGCTTCCCGGGTCTAATTTGACGGAATCGTTAGTTGACCAGACACCCCGACATCTCCTGTCCACCGCACCGCGTTTTGCAGGGGGATCGCGTGACGAGAGTACAACGATAATAACAATAAACTTGCGGATAACAACTACAGAAACAGCAGTATAATGTCCGCCCGCCCGACATCGTTGTCCCCCCCGTTGGCTACGGCATTGGCATCATCCTTGCTCCCGGCCAGAGCCAATTTCGGATTACTCAACTGGCTCATCAGTTGGCTGCTGCTGTCGATGGTGCTGCTTAGAGGTGAGACCTTACCCTCCTCTCGGCGCGGCCTTTTTAATTAAATAATCCAATTTATTTTCATTTAATTTCAAATTAAATTTAATTTGTTTTGCGCCAAGCGCTGGCTGCTCTAATTGTTGCCTTCTCCAGCCACACACCGCTCCACCACCGCACCAAAAGGTTTTTCTTTTGTCGCCCTGGATTTCCCTTCCAATTTCCGTGGTGGGGGCGAGCATAAAAGAGGAAGTTTGCCAATTGAAATTCTTGAATTTTTGTGCTGAGAATTTTAATTCAACTGTGGGGAGACAGAGGAAAAGTTTCCCTTTTTTTTTGTGGCAAGTCAAAAGGTGAAAGCATTTAATGTGTGACCCTGTGAAGAGGGGGTGGAAGTGGGCGCTCGAGCACATTCCATGGTCCTGATCCGAATCCTAGTCCTGGTGCGTGTCCTACACCCGTCAAGGTTAGTGCAGCAATCATTTGAAGAGTTGCCGCTGCTGTCTGAGAATGAATGGCAGACCATGCAGAGCCAGCACTTGTGGCAGATAGAGATAGTCACAGAGAGAGTGTGTGCGTGTGCCCTACCACATGCAAAGGCATGCGTGTCATACATTTTTATATAATATGTACTCTCTGCAACATTGGGGCAGAAAAATCTCACTTTCAATGCATCACTAGCACCAGAACTAGATAGAAATGTGGAAATGGAAAAAACAAAAACTAACGAGCGGCAGACACTTGGAAAATGCTGTTGATGCTTGGTCAGGGTCGTTGCAGCTCCCTCTACTTCTCCTACACTCTGCTGCCCTCGTGCTGCTGCTTCTGATGCTGTGTTGCATGTGGCAGTTGACACAAGAAACTGTTGCCATTGGGTTTTGGCCTCTGGCTTTTGGTTGCAGTGTTTGCTTTATTCAGCTTTCAGTGTCCCATTTTCCCTTCACTCCTTCTCACTCTTTGGTTTTGTTTTGTCCAGTCAGAGTGGAAGCAACAACAGCCATCAACATGAATTTTAACATAATTTTAAATCATTTTCCATGGCAATTGTTCTCGTCCATCTTCTTGACTCGATTCGACTCGTCTCGTCTCTCGGTTTGTAATTTTCGAATGAAATACTCGTACTTTCAAAATGCAATTCACTTTTGCGCAAATTGTTTCATTTCCTTTCCTTTGACTTGCTCTCCGTCTGACATTTCATTTGGCTAAAAGCTACTTGAAGCTGGGCTAAGCGCAGACAAACAGAATTCCCTCATTCTGGCATTTGAGGACGTCCTAAGGAGGACGGGACTGGACGGACTTGCAAAAAGGCAAAAAGCAATCAAAGCAAATTCCATGCGAATCTTCCTTGAGGTTGTTGTCTTGTGTGCTCTCTACTTATGCAATTAAAAATGTATTTGCTTAATGGACGAGGCGATGAGAGTGACACTCCGTATACTTAAATGTCAAATGATAGAATCGAAACGTAGCGGGACAATTCATCAATGAATTAGAGCCAACCAAAACTGTTGAAAAAAACAGAATGGTATTCAGATTCTGCAATCTGCAAATAAGAAAAAATTAATTAAAAAAGGTATGTGCCATTGAGCATTCCCTGCAAATAAATTGACTATAAAACGCTGTTTTCTGATCGATAACTGTTTGTCAGATACTTTTCCACCTCTTAATTGATGGGTAAAAACCTGATAAATAAATGCGCATATTTCCCGTAATGAATTCATAAAAGCCAGCGTTCGTTTCCCCTCCTGATGTCCCTTGTTGTTTGGTTTTCTGGTTTATTAATAAATAAATTTCGTACTTGCGGTATGCAGTATGCAAAATTGCAGTTATTTGCACAGCTGTTTGCCATTGAAAAGCAAACAAACGGCTTTCCTTTCCTTCTTCTCCTTTTTACCACGTGTCGAATGTTTTTTTTTCCCTATGTCACGGTAAAATATTTTTGCGAATATTTTCCACGAAACCACAAAAAAGAGTTGGTAAATTATTATTGTCAAAAGCAATAATGGGAGACGTGATTTTCAGTTGAGTCCAGTTAATGCAAACACAATGCGACGGAATTAAGAAAAAATATCAAACATCGACGCTGACTAAAGGTTCCCTTTTTTTTAGTTTACTGAACGCTTAAAGCCGTGCACAGTTTTTGAAAAATTTAACACATACACAGAATTGTGTGCCTATGATGATGATGATAATGATCAGGAATACATATTTCATATAGAAAAGGGATAATTAATGGTAAGAAAGGGAGGAAGAATTTGCAATGGCAAGAAAGAGATAGAGCGTGCTCTGCTTTAGGCCGCTTCGCCTGCGGCCCTTGGCAATCAGTGGGGCACATCATTCAGCGGTGTCAGACTGATGAATGAAGCCACGCATTGGCCCAGACAAGTGCCAGGCATCACGCACACACTCACCCACTCCCACTTTCGCCCCATAAATACAGTCAAATCGATGAGTTCTTTCAAGGCGCCTCAAAGTATGCAAAGCACATACTCAACTGTGCGATGAGGAGAGGAAAGTGGAGCGAGAGAAGAGATGAGATCTATTGGGGCCCAGGTTATTCACACAAACTTTGAGGCGAGTCAGTCCCAGGACCCGACGGGCCCAGGCTTCAAGGCCAACGCACATTATCAATAAGGCGTGGGCAGCAGACCTGATTTCTCCTCCATATAGTATATTTACACATACAGATACAAGCAGATACTGGAGTACACAAATTTTTTATTCCCACAAGATGCTTGAGGAAACAAACTTTGTGATGTTTGTTGATTTTTAATGGCATATGGTTTCACTGGAATTTACGTTGAATGATGAATGCGGGGTTACAAGCTCAGCCGGAACAGTGATGGAGTGGCGTGCGGGTGTGTGTCGACCCCGCTGAGCATATGTGTTTCCCCACAGTATGGAAATCTTGAGGTTGCATTTTGTCGTGACCATGCCACAGCCAAAGTCACTAAAAAGTTGTTCGAATCTTTGACTTAGGTTTGGTAGCTACATATCATCTTAGGCATCGTGTTGTCGGGGGGAGGGGATAAAAAGAGGACTCCAAATATATATATTTAGCAAACCGAAATTTTCTTCGTTTTAAGTTTTCTTCTCTACACAGGTCAACCGCAAGCATTTCTTTACTGCCGCTGCTTTCGTAACACTTATGGATCTGACATTTATATGACAGCTACGGCTTGTGTGCCGGGGCTATGCAGTGGATGGATGCTTCCGCTTCCTCTGGGCCCCTGAGTGTGAGTGTGGGTCTTGTTTTTGTTTTGTTTTGTTCGTCAAATTTTTCTATTTTTATTTTTGTGTTTTTGTTGAATGATAGAAAGAGGGAGGGAAGTAGTAGGAAAGGGGGCAGCAGCACGTACGTCTGTATGTGGATATTATTTTTTGACTCACTTGGCACACAATTTCCACAGACACAAAACGGAATCATTTCGGTCACGTACCAGAGAGACGGAAAAACAGAAATTTATGCATTTGATTTCAACTAATTTTCAGAGTCCAACCATGGCTCGAGAATTGTTTTGTTTATTGTCGGCCAAATTAGATGCTGCTGCTTTCATAAATTAGCCCGAAACTGGAGCAGTTCAGTGGAGCCGCCTTCTGTACCCAATCCATTGTGTGGTCGGTCCGCGTCCCCAGACCTCCCGGCTTTACGACCTTTCCAACAGCCTTGAGCCTGGGCGTGGCTATTAAAAAGCACTCCACCAGCGGCAACTCTCGAGCAGCTGGCCTGCCTCCCAGCCAGCTCGATTTTAAAGCCTTTAGCCAAAAGTGCTAACCCAAATTGAACTAAAACATAGATACACACAGAGGCAGATACTACTAACAGACACACACACACACACAGATACGGGCAGACAAACAGATACTCGTACTAGCACTCGACACGCAGATAGAGACAGACAAGTGTCTTCAAATGGATATTGTCGCTCTTAGTTTCTGAGGGTACAACCGAAAGAGGTGAGCTGTACGGGTGTCCTGTCGATAAATCCACAAGAGCAACATAAACCAGTTGCGCGGCTCAAAAAAGTCGTATAGGCACCAATGATTCCCCAAGTAAAATTTGGTTTTATTAACACAGAGACTCCGCCACACGTGCCAGGGACCAAGTTCCCGTTCCCGTTGCTGTTGCTGTTGCATGCCACGGGGCGTGACGGTAACCTACATGAGATGTTGCTTTGAGCCGACTACCCTCGAGCTTGTCTGAGCCGTTTTTATTAAAAATTCCACACAAAAACAAGGAGAGGAGGGGCAAGCCAAGGGCTATGGAAGTGATGGAGCTGGAACTAAGGGAAGCTGTGTCGCTGTGCCTGGAGATGGAGCTGGAGATGTAGATGGAAGAGATGCCGAAATAAGCATGTTTAAGGCCCCCAACTAGCAGGAAACAACCAACAATTGTCTATGCTGTTGCTGTGTGTGCGTGTCCCCCCTCCCCGCCCTTGATGTAGCAGTTTTATTGCTCTGTCATTCCGAAATATTTCACACAGACACATCAGCGGCAGCGACAGTAGCAACAAAGGGTGGCCTCCCTACCATAGCTGAGCCGCATTGGTTCCTTATCCTTTCGTCGCTGTCTTTTTTGGTGTTACCTCTTACGGATTGTGTATTTTGGGCATCTGTGGTTCCCAGTATATCCTCAGTCCTTTTATTGAATTATTTTGTGCAATTTTAATCGTCAATAAATTCCTCTTTTAGATTCTAGATTGGCTTTCAAGTTCTTTAATTAAGCATTTATAGAAATCCTTTTAGCATTATTGTGAAACAATTCAATTCGCTGAGCCGAATGATTTGTTTCACTTTTAAAGCAGATTGTTGCATGTTTGCGCAAGCAATTTTGCCCGAGTATTTTGTATTTCTTACAATGGGGATTATGAAGTGAATTAAACTATTTAGTTTTGCCAAACAAATGTCTGAGAAATGTACACTTACTTCATACAAAAAATGGCTGTCAATATTGGCATAGAAAAGTGATTTATTTTGAAAGGTTATGGCATTCTGGAAACGGAATTTATTTGTGCACTGTTTTATTTATT